ATATAGGCTATCCTGATGGACCATGATTGCCCACACTGTAGAAGCCTTTGTGACTGACACTCCATAGTCCTGCCATGTTCTGCCACTTTTAAGCAGGGGAGGGTAATTCACAACCACTAAAAAGAAGCAAATTGACAAAAAAGTCATGGTAACTTATACAAAAATTTTATTTACTCATGGTGGCCACTTGCTCATTACCAAAAAAGAAACATATCACTACCAAAAGTAAGGAACAAAGAGGGCATAGATTGTATTCTCATGTCATGTAGGTTAAAAGAAGCACCTTGAATTGGCCTTGAAAGCATATGGGCAACCCATGCAAGCAGGGCAGAACTGGTCTTAAATATTCATCCAGTTATTAATGCTGAGTTACATTTGCTAAGCTGGAAAAGTGTGGGCCTGCAGCTGGATGGGTGACCACGAGTACAAGCAGGGTAGAGGGTTGGACTCAGTAGTCTTATGGGCCCATTCCCACTCATCTCCTGTCCTCTCTCTCCTCTCCTCTTCCCTTGTCTCGTCTCGTCTCTTCATCTGGCTTCTGGATTTTGCATAAGCGGCAGCTTCTGAACAGTCTTCAAGGGCAGCCTCACATACAGTGCATTGCTGTAATCTAATTTAAGGATTACCAGAGTGTAGATTACTGAAACTGGAGTGTCTCTGTCCAGTTAAGTACAAAGCTGGTAGAAGGCATTCCATGCCACTGAGCCACCTGAGCCTTAAGTAACAAACATGGATCACAAAGAACTCCCAAGCTACGATGCTGCTCCATTAGAGGGACAAAAACCCCATGCAGGACAGATTGACATCCCTCCAACTAGTCAGAAAAGCCACCCATTCATAGCAATTCAGTTTTATCTGGACTGAACTTCAGTTGATCAGCCCTCATCCAGTCCGCAGGCAAGTGCCAGTTTAGCACATCCACAGACTCGCCTGCCGAAGATGAGAAAGAGAAATCACCAATACAGTGATGGCAGAACACTCCAAGACGTCAGATGTCCGCACTCAGTCGCTTGAGAATCTGCTGGACTGAGCAATATTCCTCAACCCTCTGGAATAGGCCACCCAAGTAGGAGCAGTTTGAATCCAGACTGAAATGTATCCAGAGCGAATTTAGACTAAAATTTACCCAGATAATTAGTCTCATCCAAGAATTCCTGGATTAGGTTGGCCACCACTCAACCAAGAGTTTTCCCAGGAAGGGAACTTTTGCCTGAGGACACATGCTATGTGACTGTAAGTGTGCTTGCTTTTGGCTAGCTTCCCGGCTACATCAAGCGGGAGTTAGCAGTAAATTACTTTGGACTGAGCAAAAATCAACCGGTACTTCAGTTATCTTTGTAACAAGGAGACATTAAGCTTTTCCTCATGGATTCAGGAACATAACCTAAATTACTACTCCAGATTAACTATTCCACGTGCACAACTGCATGCATTTGTGGGTCTTGGGATACTGCTTTCATGCTGTACTTCACAGTGGATATTTTTAAACTCGAAAGATAAATGTAGTAAATCCTGACATTATAAAAGAGTTCCCCTGCTCACTTTCTGAGTTATGTAACATCCCAAAGTAGGGAGGGGTTAGCATCTTCTCAGTTACGTGCAGAAATAAGTTTCCTATATTTAAAAAGCGGTTTGATTCTGTTGGGCTCTGCAGTAGTTTTTCTTCAATGGGCCAGTTGTATCAAGACTTGTTAAGTATTTGGCACAAAGAAAACTGCTGAATTGTCCTGGGGGAAGATCAGCAAGAGGAAGGGAGGGGACTATATACTGACAAAAACAAAACAAAGCCCAACATCTGAACAACCCCAAGTTGTTGTGAAATACTGGCTTAATCTGTTTTGTTATTGGGTTGAAAAATAAAGGTACAAAGAAGCAGAAAGGACTGAAACAGGCGTTAGAAAGCATATTTCAGACAAGGAAAGAACATCACCATTATTCTGCAGTTGTTTCTGAATTCCTTTGATGAACTTTTGGCTTCAGCTGATTGCATAAGGTAAGCTCTTTCATGTTGCTTTCTCCTTGACTCTTGAGCTACTTTCTTGTCAGTACTAACAGATGTTCTAACAGCACTCCTTTTTGGAGCACTAAAATGAAAAAGAGTTACTACTCGCACTGAAACTCAGTCACTTAGAGAACTGTTTGGCTGTCAAGTGATTGATATAATTTATAAATAGTAGGGGTGCAGTCCTATAAATTCAGAGATGCAGCTTCTGAACTTACAAGCATCCTCTGCTACTCTGCTGTGCATTTGAACTAGGCAGTTCTGGCCATCTAGCTGTGGCACTTTGGAGGATGAGGGAAGGAGGCTGGATACACTTTGCTGGTGGCCCCAGTCTCTGCCTTTGCCCACCTCCTTGCCACCCCCCCCCCCCAGGTTGCTTTCACAGCCTTGGAGAAGCAGCCAGCAGTGCTTCATGTGATGGGAGGGGAGGGGGATCAGTGCAGATCTGCACTGGCAGGGTTGGAGATCTGTTTTAATCTTGGAACTATGAATCTGCAGCATCCTTTGGCCCCCTAGATGTGGCTTCATGGGCCATAGGATTATTGTATCTAGAATTTCCTGCAAGGACTGTGGATTTTCCATTTGTGGATTTTCCTTAATTAGGCCAGATACTTAAGAATATCTTGCTTTGCCATCATTAGAGCAATGTTCTATGCTAAGGCTTTCTTTTCAGGAACTTTCAAAAGTGCACTGTGGGAAAGCCAGAGTTAAAATCATTTCAAAACTACAAATGTCAATGTAGCCAAGAATCCTGCTCTATGTGTTAAGCTCCAATATTGCAATTCCAAGACAGCTTTACAGAACTATATACAATCTTCACAGTTGTTTATGCGGTTCTGACCTGATTTGCCTTCACTATTGATTTGTTTAAGAAATCTTCAGTTATCCTTCCTACCTTTTTCTGCTTTCAACAGGATGGCCATTTATATGTTAACAGAAAGAAGGAGATATGCAGAAGAGATTTGCATGAAAAGTCCATCTGCCCATTGACATGAATAGGTGCCCCTTGAGAAGCATTTACTCAAATTTAAACTGAAATACAGAGCACGTTCTCATAGTGGTTAGGAGCAATCACTGAGTCTGCTCCATCACTCGCTTAGGTACTGATGGTTGCTTAGCATCGTCCAGGCCTCCCCCTGCTTGGGCACTTTATCTTTAAACTGGGCAACCTTCAAACAGAGGCAGCCCTTCAAACAGCATCTCCATGTGCGAATCTGGAGGTGCTTGCGGAAACAAGGAAGAGGGTTCTCAGCAGTCAGCTGATGCTTTCCCTTCTCTTTCAGACCATTGCATTGCATTGCTTTGCATTGCAGGAGTGTAAAACTAAGGCCCAGGAGGCCAAATCTGGCCTGCTTGGGTTCCCCCAAAGGCCACACTCCCTCTCACTTGCCTCTTCCCTTTCCCCCAGCCACCCATCATTTGGTGGTTTCCCAGTTCTTTTGCAGCTTCCCCGCCCCCATCCTACGAGATTGAGATGGCTCCCCAAGCCTCAGTTACAGGCAGTAAGAGCATTGCTAAGATATAGGCCCTTACACTTTGACAGCCACCTGTCATTGAACTGAGAACCTGTGTTCTCTTTAAAGAAAGAGAGGACTCAGTTTTAGCCCTTGTCCAGTTCCTCGGATGCCAGGAGCAAGGTGCAAAAGTGGCTCCCCATGGGCTCTGAATGGGGGAACTTGAGAAGTGAGGAACTTGCTGGGCAGAGGGAGGAATCTTCCGAGACATCCCTTTCTCAGCAGACGATCCTGCCTTGGATGATTGGCTTCCGTGGCCTGTCAAGAGAAGGCTGGGCAGGAGGAAGGTTTTCCAGCCTCTGCTGAAAATAAACCTGCTGCCCCTGGAGGGTTGGGACTCCCCTAAAGTGCGGCCCAGCAGAGGCTTGAGATGCTTCAATTAGCACTTGAGGTGAACCGCTTGGCATCAGTGGGAGTTGTTCTGAACTTAATTTTTCTGCACATGTCTCTAGGCACACAAAAATCAACAAAACAAAAGCGAACACGGGGTAGCCACTGGCAGCCCCTCCAAAGAGCTGGTGTGCAATTTGGAAAGGAAGGTGGCTGGCAGTGTGTCTTTCCTGATCTTCAGGAACAAATTGCAATGGAAAAGGCCCAACTGTGGCAAGCTGAAAAGGTGCAGCTTCACAGCAGCAAGAGAGAGACGAGACTTGTTGCTCCCATGGCAGCCCTGGAGACACCACCTGGAGGACTGCGGGGAAGGAGGGAGTGAAGCGCTCGCGAGGATCCTGGGCATCTGCTGGGATCATTGTGTGTGCTTCACAGAACAGCCAACCAATCGTGGCAAATCATCACGAAGGGTTATTGTGACATGTGGAGACCAAGCCCTGGAATAATCCTTCCGTTCTTAGGGTGGCCAGTTTGGGGGGAGGGGCGGGGAAGGGAGAGAGAGAAATGAAAAGTTGCCTTTTATTCACTTTGTTTTGCCTGAACCTGACAGAAAAGGTTACAGCTTTTTCCTCCAGACAGAGTTGCTACTCCAAGGTTAGAAGCGGCACTAGGCCCATGAATGCTAACAGCACAATCCTTTGGTCACTAGATAATGTCCAGGTGGCCATAGGATTTTTGAAGTCTACAAGGGTAGAAAATTGCTTGGACTTCATAGATGGGAATCTGCAGCCAGCATGGAAAGAGCTGTGCCAGGTACTTTGCTAAGGTTATAAGAGCATCATCACAGAAGGGCTCTCAGGGCAGGGGAGAGACTGGCACCACAATATAATGCAGTAGACAACTGAAATCAGCTTTCCGAAGTGCTTTGCCAATTAAGTGGAGGGCAGTCTCCCCTAAGCTCTTCCCACCCTGCATAGGATTATGCCCATAATCCTCCAAATTCAGAGAGTTTCAGGCATCTCCACCGGACTGCGCCCTTAAGTCCAATGATCCAGGAAGACAGACTGGTTGCTGCCTCCAGGGAACCTAACTCACTCCTTAGAACACAAGCCCAGCACTTAAGAGCATCAATGAGTGATTACATTAATCCCGTTATATTTGAAGTAGTCCCAAACACTCTTGGACAGATCCTGCATCTGCTAACTCTAAGCATGCCATGGTATATCACCCCATACCAAGATAACAATCTGCTTAGCAAAACACACACGCAGAGGACCTTGTCCAAATAGGGAGGATGGGGGAGTTGTGTTGTAATCTTTAACTTTTGCTCACGGCTTCACATTGCCTGCTGTAAAAGATCTCTGTATAGGTTTAATTTCTGTATTCAAGGAGGCCCTAAAATGCAGAAATACCAGAGAAACAGAAGTGTGTATCAACAGACAATTGCACTGCTAAGGAAAAATATGATTCTGAAATGGAGGATGAGGATGCAGAGTTTTCAGGTAAGTACAAAGAATTACAAAGTACAAAGGTGGGAGAAGTAAACAGATGGAATTTGTTATTTGATTAATGCAAGAAGGAGGGAGAAGCATTCACACCAATTAGAACAGGGACTGGTTGTTCTTTTCTCTCTTAACCACAATCATGGCAAGGGAATGGTTGGTATTGATACCGGCTGCATTTACGTGCAGGACATTTCCCATAAACATGTAAGATTTAGTAGTGGGCAGGTTTTATTCTCTCAAACTATCCTGACTGGCAGTAGATAGAATTTTTAGGTTGTTAAATCTGCACAATAAACTGATCTTACAACACACCAATGTTTGCTTAAATTCAGTATAGCATGGGTAAAACTTTTTAAAAAGGTATTTCGATCAGCAGTTTTTCAGGTAAGAGAGAGCAGCACGACTAAATCCTCTTCTCCCACTCTTGAACTTCAGTGGCAGGAGATGGAGGGGGTAGTAGTCAAACACATCTGGGGGCTTTTTGCCTGTCTAGCTAGTATGTCCATGGATTGGGAAGGAGGCTGGGCCCCCCAGTCTCTCCCTCCTTGCTCCCTGAACTTCCCCCTTGTATCTTTCTCTGAGGTTGCAGCCTTAGAAAGTAGCCAGGTAAGTTCTGGTTATGGTGGTATGGGTGGTGGTGGGGCCTGATTCCCAGTTCTGAGGTTGCAGCACGGCCTGTGACCTTGGAGCTGAGCATCCAGAAATCCCTCTGACACTGCCTAGGGGCCAGAGGGTCTATTTCACCAGCATTTTGAATAATTGAGCACTGTGAGTGCAGCTCTAAAATGAAACTTCAAGTAACTGTCCATCTGCCCTGCCTTCATCACCCATGAATGTGTTGTGTGAGGGAGCACGCATGTGTGTGTGAGTATAAGAGAATGGATTTATGGATGGAGAAGTGGAGCAGCACAGAGCATTTTCTTATTTCTGTTCCCTCCCTTGTATATGTATGTATCACATGTGATTCAAGGTGTGTTTGTGAAATATGTGCATGCATTTGTGCATGAGTGCAATATGTAAGGCGGCACAAGTGTGCAGGCTGCGTCTTTCTGTGTCCTCTCATCACTAAACATTCATTTCCATGGGTCTTCCATCGTTTGCCTGTAACCTGAATGATCCTGTCATCACAGGATAAGATTTCTGATGTGTTGCTCTAGTTATTATTGTCACTGATTTGCTTGTTATCTCCAGGAATGGTTCTCAGTGCTGAGTCTTTTCCTTTCAATATTTCTGCTGAAACAAATGACCTACTTTGGTCCAACTCGTGAGGTACCCCATGCTTTCCTTGGGCAACTAGATGATCCTTCCTTCAATACTACTGGAGTTAAAATTGTTTATACTCCAGATACAAGGATGGCAAGAGAAATCATGGAGAAAATAGAAACTGTCTCTGTCATGAAAGGTATATAAAGCTTGGTAAAATATTTTGGCATGCTAGTTCTTTAGCAGGACTTGAGTTGACTTCTTATATGAATTACTACCTTGGTTGAGCTCTGGAGACTGTTCTTGGTCAGTGGAAAAGTGGAGTCAACAGGAAGGCCTTAACTCTTTCAGCTCAAAAGCAGGGTCAACAGAAATCTCATTTCCACCTGAGAGGAAAAAACCTCCCACAGTCTTGGTTCTGTCTTCACAAAGAAGAGCAGGGTTCTCTGGCTGCTCCTGGGTAGTCCTGCCTTTTTTAAAAGACAAGTTGTTGAGGAAGAGTATTCCCTTCCCTCACCTTCCCTGGCAGTGTCCAAGGATTAGCTCAAGCGTTGCTGGACAAGCTTCTGAAGCTTTAAGCTGAGCCAAACCAGTCATAGCAAGCCTACTCCATGGTGATGAGGGTGGCAATGACGGAATTCTTTTCCACCACCGCTGAATCTTCTTAGCATAGTTAGGAAGCTATCCAGTTAGGGAAAGATCATTTCTTGGCATGAGCAGATTTCTCTAATTAGCTGGCTTTCTAACTTAGTTGATGTCTTTTGCTAATGACCTCTGCAATACTCTTTTAGTATCACAAAGCCAATCCGGCTAGGCTGCTTTAACATAATCAAAATTGTAGTCAGAAGGCTCTTGCCTAGAAAGTTGGAAGGAGAAAGGGCATGGGTAAAGACCAGCTTCCAACAGCTCACCTCCAAACTGAATCCCTTTCCCCTTTTACCAACCAAATGGTTATAGCACCAGCCTCAGGGAGGTTCCTGCTGTTTGTCACAGGACAATCTGTTAGCACTCACTCTGCAAAGAGACATTTTAACAGGCCTCTGCCAAAGATATACCATACATACTCCCACCGTACTCTTCTACTGGAAGTCATGGACCATCTGAAGGTGTCTTCAGAGGATGATCCCATGGCTGTTCTTACCCCTAAAGCAGTTCTTGTTAAGAAGGGTGATGAAGCCCTAACTGATCAGGGTAAGTGGAAGAATGAGGCAGCACTAGGTCAAGCCCACGAAGCCTCAGCTCTGGTCATTAGAGCTACTGTGGCTAATGGCATGGTTGCCTGGGCCATCCATTCTCTGGGATGCTGCCTGAAGTTCCACCTGCTTGTAAGCATCTGTGGGAAGATCTCAACAAGCTGAACAGGGTGACCAGAGTTTCTTTCATGGGCTATATCCAATATTCATCCAGAGCCTTGGCTTCTGGGATGCTAGCCCTGTGGGATCTGTGGCTGAAGCATTGAGAGGTGGCCACATCTTTCCTTGGAAGCAAGCTGAAGTTTTCAGACAGCATTGGAGATAAGGACATTTTAGGCAGGTCAGACAGCATGGCAACAAAAGCCCAGGGGACTCCTTCTCCAGGCATCCCCAGAAGGAAGCTTTGCATGTCTTCTCCTAGACAGAGAGTCACCTAACATCCATCCCTGCCAGATATGTAAAAGGAGACTAAATGTCCAGGCAGACTGATTGAGCCAAGCCATAATTCAGTAGGAGGATTGGATACTTCATCCTCAGGCCTTCCTGACAACTGCATGAGCATGAAGAACTTGAGGCACTGATCTTTTTTCAACCAAGTCCAGCATGTAGGTGTCTTGGTTTATCTCAAAATTTGAGGATCCCAGGGCAGAGGCTGGATTGTAATCTCCTTCCTCTGGTCTCAAGGTATCCTCTATGCCTTTCCCCCATTCCCTTTTCTCACCGGGATCCTGAGGAATATGACAACCTTGAAAGCTGAGGTAATTGTGGAGGCTTCTTATCAGCCAGACCGGCCATAATCTTCTGAGCTCAGCATCTATTCCTACTGGAAGATCCTGGTGCATCACAGCTTTCTGTCCCAGGGTCCTCTGTTCCATCAGATCTGGGATGGTTTAATCTCTATGGCTGGTGGGTGAATGGTAACAGCTCCCAAACAAATGAACTATCTAAAAGCATGTTTATACCATTCTACCCTTCAGGATAGTCAGCTGATAAAAAAAATTATCCAACAACATGGATGGTTTTCCAGAGGTCGTCCAGGAAGAAGGAGGTACCACCGCTAGGAAGTTAAGATTTCCCTTTCCTTTATTCCATCCGGTTTTCTTTCATTCTGTTCTTTCCACAGCAGGTGGAAATTGTTTCTTTCCCTCCTGTTGGGTCCACTCTCTATTGACCAGAAAGACACTTCATAGCAAGTCCGTGTTTCCAAATTCTGTGGCAGGGATCGGAGTTGAAACAAGTGACAAACTAAATGTTTCTGTAACTATGTAAAGGACATTCACCATAAACAATAATCCTGTTGAAGAGTTATTTTTAGGCAGAGTTGAGCCCTGTAACTTCTTAAAAATTAAGGAACCCGTAAATGTCACAGTGTGTTTCATAAGCATTTTCTTACTGCTAGTTTTAAAAAAAACTTTTCTAGGCATGACTAGACTGCAAATCTCTGGTTTTGCTATTCTGAACACTTCACAGTTAAAGAAGGTGATTTCAGAATGATTACAGTTTAGGTACAGCAGGAAAGAGTCATGCTGGATTTGCATTTGCATTTCAAATTATTGCCTTGAATCACAAACACGTTTTCAGGGTTTGTTCTGTGAAAGGATAGTAGTTATTTTGTTCAAAAATGAATCTCTCCCACATTTTGTGTTAACTTATTTACCCCTTGTAATTTGAGTGAAGGTTCAGGATTAAAATGCTACCAGTCAACACTTTCTTTCAGTGCTTAACTTGTACTATTATTTACTTGAACATGTTGAACCAAGCACCTGTTTTTACTTGTGCCTTCTACCCTGCTTGGTAAATCCATTTCAGGCAGGCATCATATTTGAATCAAGCAAGGGCCAGGGAGGCACTGTGGCATCCACCTGTGGACCTGCTCCCATTTGAGCCGAAACATAACATGACAGAGAGATGTTATTGGGCTCCTCAGCCGGGGGCTGCCCTGTGCCTCTGTCTTGGCTTGTTCAGAGGACTGACCACTGGGTTTGCGTAATGGGAGAACTTGGCTCCGTCCCTGCTCAACCCAGGGCAAGTTGCTATATGAGCTCTTTGCATGTTTCTCAGCAAAGGAGAAATTCGTCTTATGCATAATAATGTGTGTATATTTGGGCAGGGGGAATCAAGTGTCTTTGGACAAAGACTATGCTGGCACCTGGATGAGAAGCCTTTGGAGATCCTGTTGCGATCCCATTCACAACCCTTTATTATTGCTAGTCTACTGTGACTTTTCCTTGCTTCATACCATTAGCTGGTTATAGATTTCAGTCAGTTCATTAATTCCAGAAGTGTTGCCTTGGCCAGTTCTCCACCTTGTTAAGAACCATGGCACATGGCCTGGCATAGCTAGCCCAGCATCTGCATCAACAGCTGTTCCTTTTTCTCCTGCATGGGATCCCAACTAACAGCAATCCTTCTATACTACAGGCATACAAACAGAATTAATGAAAGATGAAAACACCATGGAAGCTGCACAAAAGGAGAACCACGATCTCATTGGCGTTGTGTTTTTGGATGACTTTTCCTACCGACTCAGATTTCCTTCTTATAAAATTGTTTCTCCAAGCAGTTTAATTGAAGAACTAGGTAATTCAAGATGATCTCACATTTCTCTTCCACTTCCTAGATAATTATATGAATACAGTGATGGCAGAAAAGTTATATTGATATATATTTCTGTAAGTTATTTGAGCATTCTTTTAGTGTAGAAAAGAGATCCATAGAGTCATTCTATTCCGTTATGAAAACAAACAAAAACCTGCCCATTTAAAATCAGAGGCTAATCCTGTTGGCTTAAGCCTCAGAAAGCTGGGATATTGAAAGGTAAGATGCTCTCTGTGATCAGCAGCAAGGTTGTGCAGTGTCACAAATGGTGTTTGTTTGCAGCTCAGCCTCTAGGCACCCACACTCTCCCTTGGTCTTTCATGCCCAATCCAGATCTCAAGCTAATGGGACCTTCTTGTCACTGGAGCTCATTGTTCTGCCAGTAGAGGAGGGGGAACAGGTACCTATCAGCTGGGACAAGGCTGAGATCAGTTTGAGGCTGAGAACCTCACCCTGTGCATGAAGACAAGCTGCAGGAATGGGGGGGGGGGGGGATCCTGTATTGGCTTATCCAGAAGTAGGGGCTTCTGCACAAAGAGGGACATAGCTATTCCTTTACACTTGTGCCAACATTTCCTGGTTTCTTACTGATACCATTAATGTACCAGATTGTGTATATGGTTAAATAACATTGTTTGATTTTCTCTTGCTTGTAGATTTGTGTTACAACTATTCAAGACATTATTGTAACAATCCAAAGTATTGGTTTGAAGGGTTTGTGTCACTGCAGTCTAGCATTGACAGTGTTCTTATTGAAGTAAGTAGAACTTCTTTGTTTGTGAGTTTAGTCTTTTCTTTGCATTGATTACATTATGTGATATTATTTTATTTTGATTACCTGTTATAATAATGAAATATTAATTGTTCTTGCTCATTATAATGATCTTTGGATTAAAGTGGCACAAGGGTGCCCCATGAGTTAAGGCAAATTGCACAAATAAATTTAAACAATGAAAGAAGTTTCCACAATTATATGCCTCAGAATTCTTTCATTTTTAAAAAAGGGACACTAGTTGAGCTAATACTTGACACTTGGAATTCATGATCTGCCTGATGATTGCAACAATTCTGCAAAATATTTTTACTTCAGTTCTGCAGCATGTCATATTATGTACTTCTTTCAGGTTTTGATGAATGTGACTGATATGCTTTGTTCATGCTTGTCCAGGAAGGGTACCTTTCACAGGCCTGGTGAAGCTCTGAGCAGGAGTTCAGGGTTACTAAGCTTTTTCTCTCCTGTTAAATCCTATTCAGCAATTGCTGCTACAGTTACCTCATACATGCTCAAGTTTTACTATGAATCCAGAATCCTGCCAGAACTTCCATGATTTCAGAGGAATTCTGCTTTGAAATCTACTATATTCTATATGCAGTGCCTATTCTTTTAGTTATGGAATGCGGTCTCATAAATCAAACTATGTATTATTACGCAGATTGGGAACCTAGTATGGGGAGGGCATATGTGGACTTAAGCTCCTTGCCCCTGCCCCTCCCTCAGTGGTCCTCCCCCACTTGGAATAGACATATATAAAGCGTGAATGTACATTCAATCTGTCTTGTGACTACCTCTTGTGTGACAACTCGAACTTTTACATTTTTCTCAGGTATTGGATCATTCAGATTAGTATAAAAATATTCTAACAATGTGCCAGGTATGATTACAGTTTCTCCACAGACTTTTCCAGTTGACCTGGGGAGTGTGGGGTAAATGGCATGAAGCCAGCTTTTACTTCCCCTCTAAAACTTAAGATTTTTAAGTGCCTGAATGAGGTTACCATCTAACCCTAACCCTGGCTCCTGGCTCCCGCTTTCCATGTTGCCTGCTGTTGTGCCTGCCTCCTGCCTGACCCACATCCGGCCTTGCCTGCCTCTCGTGCCACACTGTGTTGCCTCAGTGAGCCGGGCTGCCTTCCTGCGAGCTGCACTTCAGCCCCCGCCTCCTGCCCGCCCCGTGCTGCACCCGGCTCCTGTTGTCTCGTGCATCTTGACTGGCTGTGCCTTCGGCCCTGTTATTGCGTCCAAGATACCTGCGCCTCTGTTGGTCCTCCTGGTGCTGAGCCCTTGGCTTGCTCCTGGCCACGTCCTTGCTCTGTCCTCATGCCTGTTTCTGCTTCCTGGCCTTGGCCTGTACCATGACTATGACTTGGACTTTCCATTCAGTCCTGCTTTTGGACCCTTTCTTGCCTGAAGTTCTGTTGTCCTGGTCCTGGTTGTTGTCTCTCGCTGCCCACATCCAGGCCCTTAACCCTGACAGGTAAGTTCCCTCAAGGAGATTCTTCGATGAAGAAAGCTACCATCAAATCCTAAGATAATTAGAAACTTAATGCATCAGTACTACTACTGATAAAAATCCTCAGGAGTTCAGTGTGTGCATACTTGACCCCACTTGTTTGTGTCTCATATTTCTTGATATTTGTTCATAATTATCACTTTAAGTTGAGAATGCCTGGTATAGTTCACCATTGTTCCAAAAAGGAGCTGGTAAAATCAGAGTATGTCTGTGTGTAGCAAGAGAGACAACAAACAGCAGCTACTGACTTGTGTTTGGCATTTTAAACAAAGTATCATGATAATTATACTGGTGTAGGAGTATTCTCACTGTTAATTTTAACAATTATCTTTAACCGGTATGTAGGATCTAGGCAGGAAAAGATAAAAAGCTGGGAGTAGTTCTATCAATTGAATGTTGTGACTAGTTGGTAAGATAAATGACATTACACAGAGTATGGTATTTCTAAATTAGCTGTTAAGGCTTGTAAGTATGGGATGGTATAGCAAAGTTTTACATAAATAGATAAATAAATAAAGTGCCCCAATCCATTATGTCAACAGGATCTTCTCGGTACTGAGTCAAGCCTTCTGACCTGCTGGTGAGGCAGGTTTGAGGCTGAGGTAGAGCATGCCTGAGGGAAGCAGGGGAGTGAAAAGCATACTCTACTGGAAACCTGTGTTGGCTTACTCAGAAGTAGGGCTTTCTGAGCAAAAGGGACACAGCTATCCATTTTCACACCCGTGCCAATAAAGTGTGTGTGCTTCAGAACTATTCTGCAAGCAGGAAACTTGGCAAAGGTATTGGATCAGTATTGTGTGAGTGCTAAGACTTGTAAATACCTGTGGTAAAGTGCATGAAACAGACTGGTTGATGAAGAGTTAATATTTTGTTAAAGGGGCCAGCTGCCTCCCAGAGGCAGTGTAGGGAGAAGAATCAGTAGTAATATTACTTGTTGGTTTTGCCCCTGCTATTGTTGGCTGCTACTTTCAAAGTGGGTGGTTTTAATTAAGAGGGTCTAGGCCACCAATGTTTTGTTTATCCTTAAATGAATAGCTTAACGTAATTCCTGTGATGGGTGTTTGTTCTGAGTGGATGTCCATGAACAGAGCTTAACTCTCAACAATGAGATGCTGAGCACCAAGTGGTGATGGGTGAGGGGGCATCCTGCCAGAGAGAACTTATGTTTGGATTGCACCTTCTTCAGGAGGGGTGGAAGGGATTGCCTGGTTATGCACTAGAACATGCCACTGCACTTAATGTGAAAAGGGGGTTATCTTAGACTAGTTTTTTTAAAGTTACAGAGCAGGAGCAGTGGCAAATGGCACTTGTTGCTTTTATGTCTGACAGACCAAAAGGTGGACTGGGAACAAGAGGGCAGTCTCAATTTGAATCTTGCTCAGAAGGTTAGAGGAAGGCTTGATTTAAACCTTACTCAGATGGAAGACTAAAACTGCACCTGTCCTGTAATCCACGGGGTTACTTGTAAGCTTTTAAAAGATAGCTTACTGAAACCTAAACTAGATTTTTAACAAGACTTACCTAGTAACCCTTGTTTTACTATAATTCAGTACAAAGAAGCCATTTGGATGTCTTAAAAGAAAGACTCTGGCAATATACATCCTGCTAAAAGTAAGGTAATGCTTTTATAGAACCCATGACAGAATTGTTAAATCAGTTTGTAGTAAAATGTTGCAGTTCTTCGTCGTGGCCTCTGTGCATCACACATATGGGTGCTGTGCCTGCGCATTGCCTAGGCCAGAAGATTAGAAAGCTAACAGTTTTTGGCGGGAAAACTCCGCTCCCCTCCCCCTCCATAGTATATATAGGGCAGAGTGTCCACCAGTTTCTTAGTCTTGAAGACTGCCGTTCGCTGTGCCTCGTGCCTGTTTGACTCTCGCATCAATCTTTTTGCTCCTTGTTGTTCATTCTCTTATAGTTCTTATATCTCCTTACATTCCAAGTTTTTTCTCTTCCCCGTTACAAAATTCTCTCTTTCTTGCTTTCAAAAACAAACAAACCCAAAAAATATTATAACTCTGCACCATCTCCTCTCTTTCTTTTTCATGATGGCGCAGTGAGTGGCCTTTCGCAAATGCATTGAGCGCGGCTCCAAGATGTCCCCGGAGGACCCGCACGACCTATGCCTTTTCTGCCTTGGCGAGGGGCATAGGACCGATAAGTGTGGCCATTGCTTGGCCTTCACCAAGCAGGCCAGGAAAAACTGGGAGAATCATCTCCGTACACTGCTCTGGGACCAGGCCCTGATGCAGTCAGACCAGCTGATCTTAAAGTCTGGCTCAACTTCGGCCGTGCCTTCTCAGCGCTCCACCACTGCCTCAGCCGTGCCTTCTAAGCGCCCTGCCTCGGCCGCTGCCGCACCTCCACAGCATCCTTCAGATGAAGACACTACGTCGATAGAGACCCAACAGCTACCTTCTCCCCCAACTAAACAACGGGAGAAGCATAAGCATACCGGATCCGATAAGTCATCCGGTCATAAGAAGGCGAGGAAAGACAAGGCGGACAAGCCGACCCGCAAGGGGAAAAAACCCGACCACCCCCAAGCATCGTGGTTTGGGTTCATCTGGGTTTTCGGTACTGACCACCGCTACGATACCAACCCCATCAGGACCGGCCCTGCAGTCAGCAATGCAGGTGACTCCACCAGGATCCCCCAGGCAAATTGTTTGGCCTGAGAGTGCATCAGCTCAATGTTCGGGAGTCTATCTCAGATGGGGAAATTCGAGATTCCCCACCGAGGGAACGCTCTCCAACCCCGATGCCTCCAGCTGGACCGCCTGTGGAATCTCCATCACCACCTCGGCGGTGAAGCCATTCCGCTGACTGACAAGCTGACGAGTGGGACCAACCCAGCTATAGTGGTTTCACAGATTGGGGTGAATACCACTCGTTCGGCTACTATCCATGGGACCATCTGTTACCATTGGTCCCAAGGGAGGCACCATCCACGTCAGGCTGTGGAGCGTGAAGACGTCCTACTTCTCCGGAGACCTCCTCATCCAGCGAGCGTTACCGCTATCAAGGAAACTCAGATGAGTCAGAGGTGGACTCCACATCCCCTGGTGTGACCATTACCTCCCAGGACCCGGAGTTTCCGGACGAACCCCACATTACATTTGGGGAGTTCACATCCTGCCTGGTTCGGTCACTGGAGATCGATGCTCACCATCGCCCCGGTCCCAGCACTGATAAATTTTATGACATAGTCAGGGGCGAGCAATCTGCAGCCATCGCATTGCCCCTTATCACTACACTGTGTCAAGCGATGGTCCAGCCCTGGGACCTACCGGCTCAGCCGCAGGCCACGTCTCGCCGGTACGAGGCCATGTACCGGGCTCAGGAGGAGGACATATCATTCCTCCTACGTCATCCGAAACCGAACTCGGTGGTGGTTGAGTCGTCCCAGGGCAGGGAATCAAGGGGCCATACAGCTCCCCATGACAAAGAAGGGAGGAAGATCGATA